ACCCCCCCCCCCCCCCCCCCACCGGCCCCCCCCCCCCCCCCCCCCCCCCCCCCCCCCCCCCCCCCCCCCCCCCCCCCCCCCCCCCCCCCCCCCCCCCCCCCCCCCCCCCACACCCAAAACCCAAAACCAAACCCAAAAAAAAAAAAAAAAAAAAAAAGGTAAGGCCGCGGTAATAAAAAAAAAAAAAAAAAAAAAAAAAAAAAAAAAAAAAAAAAAAAAAAAAAAATCTTGCATTAAAAAGAAAATCTGGGCCATTTCCATACCATATGCTGCGGGCCAAACATGATCTTCGAGCACATTTTCAATGTAAGTTTGAGCACACAAGCGCCCGGGAACAACGACGAGATCTGTGCGCTCGTCCAAACTAACTCCGCCCCAAACCATCACAGAGCCACATCCAAATTTGTCATATTCCTGGACTGCTGCTGCACTGTATCGCTCGCCTGGGCGTCTGTAAACACGGAGACGACTATCGCAACGTGTTAGACGGAATCGTGATTCGTCAGTAAAAAGCACTGGCCTCCAATGTCGAAGTTGCCAATTAGCGTGATTTTGCGCGAACTGTCGGCGAGCTTGTCTATGTTGAATTGTTAGACGCACAGCCCGAACTGGTCGGCGTGATCTCAAATTGGCTTCCAACAACCTATTTCTTACCGTCTGGTCGGAAATTTCTACACCAGTAGCCGTCCTTAGTGTATTTTGTAGATCTCTTGCAGTTTTGGTGCGGTTACGTAAAGCACAGTTGACGATGTAGCGATCTTGCAAACGTGTAGTTTTTCTCTTTCGACCTTGACCACGCCTTCGTGAGTATTCTCCCGTCTCACGGTATCGCTTCCAAAGTCTGTAGATAACAGAAGGGGCTACTCCTAGATCATTTCCTACGTAACGCATAGTTCGACCCACTTCAATCAAAGCGATAGCTCGGGAGACATGCAATTCAGTCAGATCTGGCATTATGACCAAAACTCACTCGCTTCAATGAATAACAATACTCAAAAGGCTCACTTCAATTTCTATTAATACTCAAAAGATTGAAAAAAACTACTTAAAATGTGTTTTCTGTGATTAGAAAGTAATGAAAATTCAAAGACGTCACTTTGTTTTTCGTCTACAATGCACATTTTAATCTTTTTTTAATAAAAAAGATACAAATTGAATTTTTTAATTAATTGTAGTAATTAACAAATTAACAAGGTAAAAAATTGCGTACAAGTTAATTTAAATCTTATTTTAGTTTAAGCAATAGAAAGGAGTAAAATCTTGTTCCGCTAATTGTTTTGAGCAGTATATGTACTACAATAAACTTACTGTTTCGAAACTTCAATTCGGTCGAGCGATGTACGCGAACCAAGAGCTTCTCTTGATGCGGCGCAAAATGACTGAAGCTAGCCGCGTCCCTACTTCCCGTGACGTCTACCAACGTTCTGTGTGTGCGTATGTGAATATGTGCGGGTGTAACGGATTTTCGCAAAACGTTTCTAAAAACTGATTTGCTGCGGCGGTAGACTTTTGAAACTTCCAAGTGATGCGGCGCAAATATCTATTTAGTTGAACATCGTATTGACTCCCGACGTTAGGGAACGTAGTGTGAATAAATGGAAATTAAAAGCCGACGTCATTAAACGTTGTGTCAATTATGAATTTCTAAAATTAACGTTATGAGACGTTGCTGGACCGAACGTGTTAAAAGACCGGCAACGCACTTGCGGCTCGCAATGTGAGTGTCTATGAGCGGCGGTATCACTTAACATCAGATAAGCCTCCTGACCGTTTGCCCCTAACATAAAAAAAGTTATTTTTACGAATGCAACGTGGTCTCGTAATTCATATAAAATAAGTGGAATTATTAATGAAAAGGGTTAAAATACATTATTTTTCCAAAAGCTCCATATTTGGTTGACGGCCGCCCTGTCGTTTCCTGACTATGATTTATCTCGCTAGCCGAGGGTCATTTTAATAAATGCTTTCGGAAAATGGGAGATATTTCTGAGAAAAATTATAAGACGGTTTCCCAGCTAAGCCGACCGTCATATTAATGCTATGAAGGAATTATTTTATTATCATTTATATGTTCGTACGTTTGTGTGAGTGTTCTACGAGTATAAAGATGTGTGAACTTGATTTTCCAACAATTCAAATGGAATATTAAACATTCAAGTCTAACTGAACTCCTTCGCCCCTTTTAAAAGAGACTTAGTACTTATGTAATAAATAAATAAAAGAAGAAAAAAATAAAAAGATAAACTACATAAAATAAAAAAAATATGTTTATATAAGAATATAAGAAACAGATATCACTTATAACACGTCATTACATTTCAAAAAAATCTTTATCATTTCATATTTAGGCCAAATATAAATTTGAATTTAACAAAAGATGTTTGATTCGTTCGATTCCGTTTCACAATCACAAATAATACACACGACATAATTATATGTTCAAACTTATTATTTGAATATCTGTATTTAATTGTAAAAAAATATTCATTGTACATACGAGTTGGTATTAGAGAAAAAAAATTTAACATTTACGATCCTCAAATAGCTAATTGTAGCTTAGTTAACCTGTTTATTTTGATACATTTTGGTATACACACGCTGAAAGTTATGTGATCCTAGTTTTTATTTATTTATTGCAGATATAAAGAAAAAAAGTTTACAATACTGTGCCGAAAACATAGAATGGACACAGTTTTTCTGTCCACCACAGTCAAACAGATTTAAAACGAATTATTCTATTGCGCTTATAATTCGGCACAAACTCCCTTTTGCCGCCAGTTCGTCGTAAATAAAACTCATATCATATCTGAGTTAAAACAATGCCATATCTTTTTTATATATAACCATAATAGTAACACGTGATGGACCATTGTCCCTACGTTCTAGAGATTCATTCATGGCCGATGAAAGGTATGGCCCGCTATTTTTCCATAACAAATATAAAAAGTGGTTTTCAATTGGAACCTTTTCTTACTTATAACGGCGTTGAATTAGAAAACCAAACTCATAGGTTCATAATATGCTAATTAGTCAAAGAAATATTAATGATTATTATAGGCTTGAAAAAAAAATTATACATTATAATAAATATTATTTTGATAACGTTATAATGGTATTGTCTTTGATTAACATAACTTTTATTCATTTAATAAAACACTATTTTGACCGGATTGAAGTTATGTATTATTATAAATTTACAACTATTTAACATAATTTTAAATTTATCCGACGTTTCGCGTGCTTTACAGCGTGCGTGGTCACGGTGACTGAAGACAAAAGATGTTGAATGTCAAAAAGTATCATTTATTTATAATAATACATAACTTCAATCCGGTCAAAATAGTGTTTTATTAAACGTTATAATGTTTTAGTATATGGCTCATAAAGTATGTAACTTCTATGTAAAATTCTTTTTAAGACAAATGTGCACGCCATTGTGTGGCAGAATATGTGAACTTTGGATTGTACCACCATAACATTTTTGTACCATATTCTTGCAAATAAATTATTATTATTATTAAGTCTGTGCTGCATGTGAGAGGATCTCAAGTATTTGCATTTTGCAATTTGACTTGAGTTCTGCCCCAGCAAAATTCTATAGTTCTTAGACGCGTAAGAACGACTTAATTAATATACTAAATAATCATAATAACATCCCGTTTACAAAAGTCGAATATACAGCTTAGATTCGTTATATACATTTGGTTTTTCTCACTATCCTTATATCCTAGCTTCCTTCAGTACCGTTGATCGGAACACCTTGACGGGTAAAGGCCTCCTCCAGCCTTATCCAAATATACTTTCGCCATTTTCTCCTTCTTTTCCCTGGTCCTTTCCAACTAGTAATCTTATATCTCCGTATCTTGTTATACACGTTTAATTAGGTCCGTATTAATTACTTATGTCAATATTTGAGCTGCTGAACCCCAGATTTCTTGGAAGACCAAAGTCAAATTAAGGCTTCAAAGCCTGCCGAGCCTTTATCAAGGAACAAGGCTTTATGGCAGTTCAAAGGATTATCTAACTCGAATTCAACTTACAGTCCCGCAAAAAGGCTGTTTGAGGGCTGAGAAATGTCTGCTGTATGTATACTATTTATTACAAATAATTGTTATTGTCCTGTACCAATAGTGGTGAAGATCAGTTCTGCCTTCCCGACGATTATAGTTTAACTGGAAACAATAACATCCAACTTACATACGATAGCCACGTAAACCCCTTTTGACTTTTGAGCTTTAATCAATTTCCTTACCAGTTACAGATTGAAAGACATGAATATTATAACGGAGACAAATTAAACGATGGCGAAACTACAATTCAAACAATGTAATGTCTTGATATTAATAAATCGCAAACAATAAAAAAATGTTACACATAACATAGTGTAATGTCTTTATTTTAAAGTGGCACTAGTCCTTACGATTATCATGAATAAATGCTCCTATACATTGTTATAACAATTCGTCTTAATTTATCAAGCTACCCCCATGTCTTACAAAATTTATTATTTTGTTATTGCACTGAAAAAGTCACTTAAGAGGCATTCCAGCTATATTTAATAACCATAACGATAACTCCCTCTATAATAAATATCGTCTAAATCATTGTTCCTAACAGCCCGACCGGGAGCAATCTCGCAACGCTCAAGAAATAAATACTTGCGTTCTCAAAATACCGTTAGAACACTATGACATACATAGTAAAAGTCAGCCTCTATAAAAATAAGGGTTTGGCGAACTTGGCTACTACGCCGGCGCAAAGAATGATTCTCCCGAACGCAGCAGTTGATCAGACACGTCGACGCCATCGGCAATGCCGGTACTGCGGTGCGTGATTCGCGTCTCTCTGGTCACGTGCTATCTCGTCGAGCCGTCACGCCAGGTGACAACTTGAGTGACGGAACACTACAAGCCGAAAACTATGCGTTTAAGAGCCTCTAAAACGCTCTTACAAGTGTACAAACATCTCATTTTCAACCCCGCGTAAGTTTCGAGTGCGAAATGGCTCTAAAAGTGTACTTAATTGTTTTTATAGTGTGGATTGTGAACTGTAAGTGCGATATGTGTAACGTGACTCAATGTGATTGTCCGTTTAATATAACGGTAAAAGAAAGTGGTCATCAGATACGATGTTGTGACATTCCCATGCTTACAAATAAGACTTTTAGGGGGGTTGAAATAGAATTCAGTGAAAAATGTGATTTTAACAATATTAATTTCGATGTTCCAATACTCGATACGTTTTCAATTATCATGACAAACAATACCATTGTAAAACTACGAATAAACGTTAAAGCCAATAATTTACGTGAATTGAATTTATCATTAAACAGGTTGCAATATATCAGCAAGGATTTATTCAGCAATTACACGAATCTCCGCGTTTTGATTTTGAGTAAGAACAGTATAAATAAAATATCAGCGGAGAGTTTTGTTGGTTTAAATAAGTTAGAAAAACTAGACCTATCTGAAAACAACTTGACTAAATTGGAGAACATATTTACGCCCTTAAAAAGCCTGCAGCATCTCAATTTAAGCAGGAATAACATTGAGTTTATACTGGAGAATTATTTTAATAATTGGCTGTTACAACATTTAGATGTCTCCCATAATAATCTAAGGAAATTAGCGCCTGGAGCATTGCAGTTACTGCCGAATTTAGCTCGATTACTCCTGACAGATAACCCGCATTTGGGGATTACACAGTTGGATACACAATTGTTAGTTGGCACGGGCCGCAGACTACAGCAGATCGATGCATCGAGAACAGGATTATACCAAGTCCCCGAAGCGTTCACACATTCCGTTCGCTTCCTGTCTCTTGTGGGGAACCATATCAGCTCCATACGCTGTGGAGATCTAGACAGCTATCCACTTCTTCAGTCGTTAGACTTTTCAAATAACAAAATCAAATCAATCGAAGAAGACTCATTAGGTAGACTAGAAATGCTCCTATTTCTGAATTTAAACAACAATTCTCTCATCGTGGTCCCTAAATCTCTGCCCGATGAATTGAAATATCTTTCCATAAATAATAATATGATTCAAAACCTCACATCAGCGGACTTCAAAAGCTTGCCAAACCTTCGTATCCTATTATTGAAAAGCAATAAAATACTTTACATTCAAGATCACGTGTTTGACGATTTATTATCTCTGGAAATATTAGATTTGTCAAACAACCCACTGCAAATGCTGTCACCGAGCACTTTTGATGGACCGTTATCTCTCCGAGATCTGAGATTATGTTACTTGAATATTTCCGTGCCTGCGAAAGATGGCTCTTTTCCAATGTCGTCCCCGGAAAGTGTGCAAATGCTTCACTTACAATCTAGTCCTGGTCTTGCCAGACAGTTTTTAGCTGACTCGGCCGCGCTCGCCGCCTTCTCTCATTTGCAATATTTGGATCTAAGAATGAACAATTTACGTAACATACGAAACGATCTACTCTTTTATCTTGTGCAACTAAAGACGCTGAGATTACACGGTAACAAGATTAACTGCAGCGCGGAGCTGTGGCTGTCTGATTGGATGAATTGGAATAAAAGTTTGCTAAACAATGAAACGTGTTACTATTCAACGTCCGAAGCGAAAGCAGAAATAAACAAGTACAACTGTACCTTCCCTGAAACTTTCACAATAAACGAAAGTTTGCCGCCCGTTAATTTATATAGTACTGAAATGATAAATAAACTGCTAAGATATTACGGGTATTTAAACAATAAAACAGAGAGGTCGTCCTTAAAACGTAATTATAATAATTTTGGTGACAAAAACAATAGAATTACGCTGAATGTAAACGACACTTTTGTTTCGAGGCTTGAAAAGAATTTCGTGAATAATACAATAAGAAACAATGAGAAATTAGATACTGAAAACATGATTCAGTATGAGGATAATTATAATAGAACCGGGATTGTGGAAATATCTAAAATAGATAAAAATATCACATCGCTAGTACCAGAACATTTGGACGCAATACTGTCCGAAACTCCGACGATATCACAAAATAGAACTATGCTCAAAACGGGAAATCGGTTGAACACACCTGTGGCCACCAAAGCATCTCTTACTAGCCTGGCATTGGAAAATCAATACGCACTGAATAGCAGCGCGAATAATACATACACGACTCCAAATAATATGGAATACTCTCATTACCAGCCGTCGGGCCATTTCGCCCAATACTTTGGTATAGTTTCCGTTTCGTGCTTAATAGTGATGTCTTTGGTATTATGGCTCAGTATACGATTGAGGTATAAAAGGAGGCATGCTCCGAGCGTGGACGGAGGGGGGCAGGAACAAATAGAGGTGTCGAATATATCTGGGGGGGTGCTGTGGTGACATTTACGAGCAGCCGATCCAATGCCATTTGAATACGACTCTCTTTTGACATAGCACTTAAGTGAGTATTGGAATTCTTTCTTTTATTTCCATGTAGGATGACTTAATTTGTTTAAAAAGGGTTTTAAAAATGGAAATGGAAAGCTATGAATTATCAAGTTACACTTTGCATTCTATATTAATTAAAGATATTTATTATGTAAACAATTTACGTTATATTATAAGATCCTCATAATATTATATTATACAAAAAGAACTTAGTTGGATGTTCTGATATCAATCATATTTGTTTATATATAAATTTTACCGACTTTATTAAATTTATCACCATCATTATCATTAACAGCGAATTAGTCCATTTCCAGTAAACAAAATGATTATTGACGTGACAAACTGTACAAAAGTATATAAAAGTGTGAAGTTTTTCTACATAATTGTATATGGTATTCAAAGCTACAAAGTATTCTATAAAATATTTATCAACTTCTACGCGTGAGCATTGCAATATGCCGTAGCTATTGTAGCACCAGCGCTACGACGTAGACATAATCCGACGATCTCGTAGCTTAATGTCATCCATCACTCGTCACCACAAATACTTTTTAACAATTTATGTGAACTGAGTTCTGTCTAAATCTAATCTATCTAAATAAAAGTTCACTGCATAAACGACAATTTTACATCATTAACTAAACATTGGCTAGGTTACTCAAGAAATTACACTACGTTTCATAAATATTTTAATAAAATATTTGTTATTTTAATAAAACATAATAATGTTTGTTTCAGTTTTAAGAGATCGGCTGCGATGGAAACTCATGTGATAGGACTGGACGTATTTTTCTATGAATAAGTACAAATAGATTGTTAACGTAAGACATGTATGTTGTATAATTTGTAAATATGTAAGACCTATTTATTTTTATGAACTGTATATATTATTTAAGTGTATATTTAATGTAGTATCGATTGAGATTATAGTATATCGAGCTGTGTTATTTATTTTATCTGTTATTTGTCGAAGGCAGTATCAGATCTAGTAAGCAAAAGCAATACACAATCAAATATATGTAAAGTTAAAAAAAAGTGCGTGCGTACAAAGTACACATGTCAGAAGTGAAACTTCTTTGGCTAACTAATGTTTAACTCTTGTTCATATTTATAGAAATCTTAAACTTTAGATTAAGATGTTTTAGGAATTTAATGAATTTAATTGTCATTAAAATATTAAATGTCGAAAATTAATAGAAATAATAAATTTAATTTTTTAAATTTATTTCTTCGATAGTAAAAACACGTGGCATTTTAATTTACTATTCGTCATTTGACAATTCAATAAATTATTTTGCATAAAATATAAAGTACTAATATTTCATATTTATGAAATATTAGTATTTTACTCTTTACGAAATTTTAATTTTAAAAATATAATTTCTATAAGGTAATTCACCCTTCTCACTCTCTCTCAATCGGTCTCAATCGCTCTCTCCCTTTTCTTCGACAAAAAAGCTGCACCTCATCGCGACGTTTTTAAAAATTTCACCCTCATGCGCCTAAAGAAGTTTCACTTCAGAAAAAATACATAAACAAAACATTATGATTCTCTTCAATTGTTTTAGTATTATATCATCATTTAATTAAAAAAAACATTTATATATCTAGTTCAATTGTACTTTCAATACAAACAAGTTTGATATACTATAAGAGCAATTGATAATGACATCAATTGTGAAAACAGATCATGTCTTCCCTCGTATTTCCATACATACATTATAATTTTCTTGAATATATTTCTCAACAAAATAACTTCGACGTAATTTCTTAAGTGCCAATAATATATCTTTTGTATTACTGACTGATTCACCACGCTTAAAATAACAAGTGTCTTTATGTTCGACACGTAATTTTGGTATTTATGGTATGAATGCCCCAAAGAGTCTTGGTAAATAAACTCTTAAATTATTTAAAAAATCTAAGCCAAAATAAATTGATTAACAAAATTTTTTTATAGTTTCGTAAGATTGATATTTCTTTGTTATTTTTTAAATTTATACAAACTCCCATGATTCCTAATAAGACTTGTGCATGACATGGGCATGGGCATGTGTAGCATACATTCCGGATTCAAACTCACGACCTTAATGAAAGCATTTGCAACGCAACCATTTGTAACGCTGCCCCATAATACATCAGTAGCTTTCGCTGTCAATTAAATGTGTAAAACTTTTTGACTAGAGTAAATTAATTTTAGTTTTCTGACACCAGTGGCGGTGGCGCTGCCGGGCATTTCCGTCAGCTGACTTTTATCGAAATAAATTCCTTTAATCACTACCGACTTAATTTAAATTTATGCACAACGTTATGCGATATATTTAAGATCTCTTGCATTAAGTAAGACAATAATATTTTAATCAACTGTATATACAGTACCTTATATTTAAGTTTGTGTTGAAAAATATTCTATGAAATCAAAATAGGTTGTATTTAGTTCTCACTTTTGTCTCTGTAACGAATTTGATTGTAGTTTCCTACTCGTAACAATGATGTATATTCGCGTTAAAAACTGTTATTTTGTTCTTTTCCTCATATTAATCTTTATCTGAAACTATGGTTGTAACTTGATACATAATGTTCTAAAAGCGATTTAGTTATTACATGTTTCTACGTAGTATATGTACAAATAGAACTAATAAATCTATAGAAATATAAAGTTTTTTTTATTTTCAGCCAGTGGTTGACTTTTTGAGCCTATTTTAATGAAACTTTATTCAAAAATTTGTTTTTATATCGGGAAGAATCCGTAATTTTGATAAGTCCCCATATCCACAACCGCGTGGATACCTACACATATATATGTATCTGATTTAAATAATAAGATCAACTTGATATCACTTAGTTTCCAAGAAATAACATACAAGCCAAACTGATAACATAGTTTTTTTTGAAATCGGTTAAAAGAGGCCCATTAAGTCTCTAGTAGCAAATCAGCAAATGTAGATTATTTTGCCATTACAAAGTTATCAATTGTGTAACTATTCTAATGTCCATCAAACATAAATTTAGTTTCATTGTGTTGAAGGAACTAGCAGATTTGCGTAGGTTGGTATATGAAGTGAATTGTGGATTTTAAGCAGAGGCGTATCTGTCCTTTTCCCTAATAAAGGGTAAGGTTCTCTATTTTCATCGAATCGAATCGAAATTCGATGAAAATAGATTCGTGCCATCGAAAGTTGGCACGAATCTATTTTAGGAGACTAAATCAGTCGGCTACTTATTTCATACCAATGTCTTTGTTTAATTGTTATAATTAATTTTCTTATGTTACATCAATAATATTGGTAAATAAGCATTAAATTTGTTCGACGTTCTGAAAGATAGATTTTGTTTAATAAACTATGTCTTAATAATAAATTAAATAAATTGTGACTCAATTCACTTGATATTTTTATAAAAATAAAAATATTTTAACCATTTTTAGATACGGGGTAATATATTTCTTACTTAGATTAACAATATCTGTATATTGTTTTATTTAAATGGCAGATCCACCTGTAACTCCCAAACTCAATATTAAATGAATTATTTAGCAGAAGTCAATATCGTCAATATTTCAATACTCTTATACAATAATTGGAAGTTTGTCATATAATACTACTGATGGTAAGAATATTCAACGATTCACATTGTTCGTACATCATACATCTATCTCAAGATGGTTTATTAACAATCACGGGTATAACTCTGCAATTTCCTCTAAATCAAAATCAGGATATAAAACAAAATTGTTCCACTAACTATACTGTATTACTGTGTTTTTTTTTAATAGAACAGGCAAATGGGCAGGAGGCTTGTGTGATATTAACATCATGGACACTCTCAAAGCCAGAGGGCTCGCGAGTGCATTGCCGGCCTTTTAAGAATTGGTACGCTCTTTTCTTGGAGGACTCTAAGTCTAATTGGTTCGGCAATACGCCGTGGTGATATAAAAACATCCTTTTCAACAGAGAGAAACAAAATCTTTATAAATCTCTTTCTAGTAGGTACGTTTCTGTAATAAAACACTATTTTGACCGGATTGAAGTTATGTATTATTATAAATTTACAACTATCACGTATCGTGGTCACCGTGACCACGCACGCTGTAAAGCACGCGAAACGTCGGATAAATTTAAAATTATGTTAAATAGTTGTAAATTTATAATAACTTCAATCCGGTCAAAATAGTGTTTTATTAAATGAATAAAAGTTATGTTAATCAAAGACAATACTACGTTTCTGTACTTAGATCTTTTTTTTCTGCTGTGTTGTTCAAACGCAAATGTACATTTACTACTAGTTCTCAAATCAAGGGCAAATAATGAAAGAGAAGAACTGACAATAAACTTTCCGTCTGTATTCTCACTAAATTGCATAAATGTTTATACAACAAAATTTACCATTTAATATCTATCTATCATGGTTCTCGTGACATCTTAGAGCAATTAGTAATAATAATAATAAATTAATAAAAAAAAACGTTTAACCAACAATTTAGTGATAGCACTAAGGCACGGTAAGAAAGGAGCATGCACTTCTATTACTGTGAGGACAACACAAAATCACGTAGTATCAAGGGGAATCATGCAATAATATGTACACAAATTTAGTTTATAGCTGCAATTAAGTAATTCTTAATAAAATACTTGTAATATACACACATAAACCAAAGAGTGCCAAAATAAAATTACTTAACAAAATATAATTCTCTCATTTCAACCACTCGCATTGAAAATAATTTTTGATGCCCGTGATTCATGAACAAATGTATTTTGTATATTGAATTCATTTCTCTCTTCAATTTTAAATTGAGGCCTTTTGAAACGTATTTCAAATTAAAGTACCTATTTTTTACCTTGCTCTATTTTTGTGCAATGGAATGTATTTTTATTTTTTTATCAGATACTCCGTTATTTTTTACACATTGCATCATTTGTTTAAAAGCAGTGAGTAAATTTAAAGCC